GGGGGGGGGGGTGGGGGGGGTGGGGGGGGGGGGGGGGGGGGGGGTGCACACGTGGATTTGTGGGCTGTTTGTCAGTGGGCTCCCTCCATCCCTCTCTTTGCCAGCCTGACCATGTGTCATGTTGCCTCCACCAGGTCAGTGGGGCTTGCCCACAGTCTCGGCAGCGGGGGTGATAGGCATGCTGAGTGCTGTTGTTGCCAGCATCATCGAATCTATCGGTGATTATTACGCCTGTGCCAGGTTATCCTGTGCCCCACCTCCACCAGTCCATGCAATTAACAGGTAGGCCAAGCTCTCTGTCGCTCTCGTGCTATTGATCTGTCTCCCCCACCTTCATCTCTCTAACTCCTCTCCTCTTCCCATCCCTGTCTCGCTCATCCTTTATCCCCGTTTCCTCTGCCCCATCTCTCTCTCTCTGTCACCTTCCTCTTTCTCTCAATTCCTTTTTCTCTCTCTCCTCTTTCTTTCTCCCAATCTCTTTCTCTTTCTCTCCATCTCTCTCTCTTTCTCTCTCGCTCTGTCTCTCTCACACAGTGTCTGTCTCTCTCTCTAGCTATAGCTCACTCACTTGCTCTCTCTTTCTCTCTCTCTCTCCCCCCCTCCTCCTCCCCCTCTCTCCCCTCTTTCTTTCGCCCAATCTCTGTCTCTTTCTCTCCATCTCTCTCTCTCTTTCTCTCTCTCTCCCCCTCTCTCCCTCTCTCTGGCTATAGGTCGCTCACTTGCTCTCTCTCTCTTTCTCTTTCTCTCCCTCTCTCTCTCTCTCTCTCTCTCTCTCTCTCTCTCTCTGTCCACACCTCTCTCCCAGGTCTGGTCCTCCTCAGAGGTCTGGAGGCCAGTCAGTTACATGCTCAGACTGCAGAGAGCTACCAAACCCCAGAGACTGGCTCTTCACGAGGGTACACTGGGCAGCAAGACCCAGGGGAGAGGCTCAGAAGGGGCAGGTTGTGAGGGCTGGAGTGTCAGAGGGGCAGGTAGTGAGACCTGGAGTGTCAGAGGGGCAGGTAGTGAGAGCTGGAGTGTCAGAGGGGCAGGTAGTGAGGGCTGGAATGTCAGAGGGGCAGGTAATGAGGGCTGAAGAGTGAGAGGGGGCAAGTAGTGAGGGCTGGAGTGTGAGAGGGGGCAGGTAGTGAGGGCTGGAGTGTGAGAGAGGCCAGGTAGTGAGGGCTG